GGGGGGGGACACCAGGTGGACACCAACACCCCAGAAGCTTGAACTTCCCGTTTCCTCACATTTTTGGGAGCCAAGAACCTTCCAACCCCTCAACCACCAGCAGTAACTTGGGGGGAAAAAGCAGAAAATTGGGTGAAATCACCATTTCTAAACCATATTCCCCCCACCGGTGGTGGCTCAGGGGGTGCTGAGAGATGAATTGCTCCTGCCTCAACTCAACCATCTGGAACGTGGGGCCACGGGAGGAGATCTTGTGGCATCTGAAAGCAGGAGAAAACAAGGTCGTGTTTTCTGAAAGGGAATAGGCCCCTTCCCTTGGCCGAAACCAAAACATCAGAGGTGCCTCCTGGGTGAAGGGAAGTTCAGAGGTGCCTCCTGGGTGAAGGGAAGTTCAGAGGTGCCTCCTGGGCGAAGGGAAGTTCAGAGGTGGGACTTGTCAGGCGGCGTCACCCGCACGGGTGGAATTCAAGCAGAGGTTTGAGGGGGGGGTTGCCAAGTTTGAGGCTGTGGCCCCCTCATCGAGGTGTGTTTGGGCACTGCCATGTGTGTACACCACCTTTGTGGGACCAGTGGAAATGGGTTCCTTGGAGTTTTTCCTCACCTCCAACCTAAATCTCCCCTGGCACGACTTGAGGCTGTTCCCTCTTGTCCTCCTGGTTGTTCCTTGGGAGAAGAAACCAACCCCCACCTCACTCCAGCCTCCTGTCAGGGAGCTGTAGAAAGCAAGATCTCCCAACTGTGAGCCCCAGATTCTGTTCTTGGGACCTCCTCTCTGTCAGCGCTTTTTGCAACGCTCCCCAAAATTTCTCACTGGTGAAGACAGAAGGGCTGTAGGCAGAACTTGCTGGTGCTTAAACCCAACTGCAGCATGGGGTGGAGTTGCAGGACCAGCACTGCGACCAAGTCACTTAACACTTCATTTTGTCATGAAGACAGGAGGGAGATGCTCTTGCTGCGAACCAAAAAACCAAAGGAAAGACAAGAGGCTGGAACAAAGAGACCCAGGAACTGCAGTGATGTTTGTGACCCTCATGAAAGGACCTCCAAAAACATCCTCATGCACCTGCTCCCCTCCTCCTTTTCCACACCAACACCAGCAGACCCGCTGCTGATTTTCTGTTGAAAGAACCTTTTCTGGTTGTGGTCCTCAAAGGTGTTGATGCTTGGCTCAGATGCCAGCTGAGAACCTGAAACTGCCTTCTCCATCACAACGCCCTCACCAGTGTCAACGTGGACCTTGAAGGCCACAGGGGTGGTGTAAACTTCCTTTGGTGGGTTGGTTTGAATGAGTTTGAGCCAAATGAGTGATGTTTCTGTGTGGTGGTCACTCACTCCTGTATCATCCCACTGTTCTTCACGTGGTGGATGGACTCTTGAGAGCCCGTGGAGGCCCCACCACCCACCATCATTACTTCTCAGGCAGAGGGGTTTTAACAGCCCTGGAGTAACTTTTCCCTCTGTGTCTTGGAAGGAACCACCCCAACACTAAACGTCCCAGTTCTCCCCTTTTATCTGCCTGTGACTGCTACTGGTAAGGGTGGGAATGACATGAACTTTCCTCAGCACATACATTGGGTGTATCAAAATAGCTGCACCCCAAAAGACACCAAGGAAAACCCTGGAAATCCAGACAAAAATCCCACAAAACCCCCAGGAGAAGCCACCCCAACACTCCCAAAAATATTCTGCTCTGTTCCATCAGTGTCCATAGAGTAACTCTGGTTTCCACCCAAAGAGCTCAGAGGAATCCTTACATCTGTCTTTAAAGATAGTCTGTACCCCAAAATGAGAAGATCAACAACTTCGAGCTCAGGAAGCCCCAAACAGCCAAATTTCAAGGTTCCACACACTTTTTTTGTAGCACTTGGGGTACAGGAAGAGCCCAGAGGTTCCTCTTCCAAAAGCAGGTTACAAGGGCTGAGGGAATTGCTCAGCCTCTCACGGGAGGTCTTTGGGTGGACACACGTGGCTGTGGAACAGGACAGAGTGCCAGGCTCTAAGCAGGAGACAAGACCACAAAATGATGCCCACCATCAGCTGCACGACCCATGGCAGCATTTGGTGGATATAGAGCTGAAAAACATTGTCACATGGTCTCTTGTCTCCAGGAGACCTCCATTCAAGGCTTGGGCTTTTCAACTTCTACACACTTTGATATATTTTGGAGTACAGAGGAGAGACCTCACTTCTGTCACTGGCCATAGTGCTATGTAGTCCTAAATTCTCCAACTTAACAGAAACCTGATTTTTTTTTTCCCCATAGTTGAGCTAAGAATTTGGGGGTGCAAGACCTCACGTTGTCTTTGCTTAGCTCAAGGTGTCTGGGGATGTTTCCTGACCTCTCAGTTTGCTGGTGGCTTCATTTCCAGAAGAAAAGAGCTGTTGTAGGAAACTTCAATGGGTGTCTCTTGGGTCTTCTTGGTCCCCTTGGCAGGGGGCTGGTTCTCAGTGGGCTATGGTTGGGCTTTCCTGGGTGTGTAGGAAGGGTGGACAGGCAGGACTCTTGATGCAGGGGGTGAAAAGAAACATGAAGTCAACATGTAGGCTTTTCATTCCTCATTTCAGAGGAACTTAAGTGGTCTTCCCATTCCCTAGATGGGTCACAGCAGGTGAATGGACCATCCAGGTGAATTATCCTGCAAGTTGTCTTGCTTTCATTTCATTTTCTGTCATTTCTTTCAGTTGACCATCATCTATAGCCACCTCCCTTCATCCTTCCTTCTATTACCTGGTGGGCAATTTCTTATGGATGGAGCCTTTTCTCCTAAAGCTTGAGGCACCTGGCAGGAGTTGTGACCATAAGCAGATCATCACCCCCATCAGAGGAGGCTGTGAACTCCTGGAGGTGCTGCACCTCCACGTTGCCTTCTCCCAGGCATGTCTGGGGCTCAGCATGAGAATCTATTTTCCTATTTGCATATATCTGCTATTTAGGCAAAAAATTCACTCAATATTCAGCACTCTCAAACCTCAGGGTCTGACCTTCATGCTCAGCAAAGCTGCTCCCCAACGATGGTGGCCCATACCGATAATTCTCCACAGCCTCAGCTGGTTTAGACTTTGTGGAGAGCGGGTCGTGCTGGTAGAGCAACGCTGACTTGATCATCCCAAAGTCTTCTTGAATCTTCATCCCCGAATAGATGGCGCCCGACACGTTTTCTGCCACGTGGGTGTAGCTCTGGAGGTTCTTCACGTCGCAGAGGTTGTCGCTGTATTTTAGTGTGGGTGGCTTGTAGGCCTGGTAGGACACCTTGGTGGTGGTTGTGATGACCGTCTGCAACGGCGGGGCTATGGGAGAGGGGTTGGGACCATACCTGCAAGGGTAGTCCCCACTGCAGTAAGGGTGGTTACCACTTGGTTGCCCATAGTCACTCCTGTCTCCACCTCCAGTTTTCCCCCAAGCTGGTTTCAGTCCATAGTGTCTGCCAGGGTTATCAAAGGTCTTCTCATGGGTGGTGGTCATGGTGTTGTAGTGAGGTCCGTTCAAACTGAGGGGATCTGAGTCGATGGCAGGACTTGTGTGATCTTTGTAAAACGTTGGGTAAGGGCTGGAGCTGATGAAGGTAGGAACTCCAAACTCGTAGCTGCATGGCTTGGGCATGTAGATCCTTGGGTTGGAGCACTTGGGGTATGGAGAGAGCTGGTCCTCCTGGAAGCTGGATGGGTCATAAGATGCTTTGTAGAGGTCGGCGTTCTGCAGCGAGGGGTAAGACTGGGCTGGGATGGAAAAGTTGGTGTCTGTGATGATCCCAACCCTTTCTGGGCCATCCATGCAGGGCAGAGTCTGTAGGTTACTGGTGTAACTGGTGCCGTCGTGGTACCTTCCCACCTGGCAAGGACAAGTAGATCTTTGAGAGTCAAGCCTCCACGCTTGCCCTACTGCTCATTTCAGCCCCAGATGAACACATGGAGCAGGGTATAAAGTTTTATTTTGCCCTGGGTTCCCTAATAAGTTCTTAGGACGCCTTTAATTGATCAAGAATCTTCATTTACAACACCTTTTTAATTGACAGATGACTCGACTTACCTCTGAGTTGAGAGGTCTCTTTTTCTGGGAGTGGTGAAAAGAGGACATTTGCTTCTTAAATGCACTTCTTCTTGCCTCTGCCTCCAATTTGCTCTCTGGCCTGGGGTGGTCGTGGACTCCTTTAGCCTAAATTAGGATTAATGAAGAATTAGATGTCAACTGGATGAGGAGAAAATGCAGTCAGTAGAATGAGAGATTAATCTGTGGTTTGGTACCAGAGAACGAGGAGGAAACTCAACCACAAGGAGGGATTAAATATATAAATAGATCAATAAAATTGTGATTGGCAGGTAGGTAGGAGGACTAGAACTAGATACAGTCCCTAATACAAAGCAGGAAACTTAAAATTTCTTCTAAAACGTTATCCTGGCTCAAGCAGAAGGAAGTGAGGACTTTATTTTTATGGTAAATAAAATTGGTAGTTTGTATGTCTGTAACAGAATATTTGAAAAAATAAGAATACAGGTGAGAATTTGGCAATGTGACCAGTTTGCTGCCAGGCCCTGGCTGCAGAACACAATTCACTGCAGCATAGGTCCATGAAAAATTCAGTTTATTTTCACACAAGGCAGAATTTTCACATCTCAACTCGTGCCATTTCAGTGAGGTTTTTGTTTCCCTCATTATTTATTTTAGTAGGAAATAAATATTGGGTCCTCAGGGAGATTCAGTTGCCAGACACATCAGGGTGCAGGGCAACCTTTTGGTTTGGAGCTGTGTACTGTAAACAGGAGAATTTTAGACATCAGTAATGATGTTATAGATAAAATTGAACACAAACTCCCCTGTGCTGCTTTTAAGAAGGCAGCCAAATATTATTCTGATGTTTTTTTCTTGCCTTGTCTGTACTACAGACAGTCAGGGACCAAAATTCCACCCTGCTCAGTGTTACATAAAACAAAAAAGAAGAGGGAAAAGAGAGGGAGGGAGAAAAAATCTCTCTATATATAATTTTTATATAGATTATATAATTTATATGCTTTTTACCTGGAAAAAGATTGCTTTGCCATCGAGTCTCCAGAAGTTAGTGACTGGGTAGCCACTGTGTCCTCTGCAAGGAATCAGCTCAAGGGCTGAGCTGCAGTTTGGGCAGGTTTTCTCTGCAAATAGAAATAAAGAAACTGCTGAAGACACGGGTTAAAAGGGAAGATTTTGGGTGAGAGCAGCACGATCACACTTGGATCTGAGTTTTGGTGAAGGTTGATGTTCAAGGAAATGCAAGAGGGACTACCAAGCACGACTGAATGGGATGAAGTAGAGCTGTATGCTTGATATCAATCCTAATGATTTAAATAAAGGAGAGGAGATGATTTAGACTAAATATGAGGAAGAAATTTTGTACACTGAGGGTGGTGGAACACTGGCCCAGGTTGCCCAGAGAGGTGGTTGATGCCCCATCCCTGGAACCATCCCAGGATGAGGTTTGCTGAGGCTCTGAGCAACCTGCTCTGGTTGAAGCTGTCCCTGCTCAGTGTGGGGGGATTGGACTAGGTGACCCTGAAAGGTCCCTTCCCACCCCATTCTATAATTCTTGCAATGCCTATAAAAATCAAAGATTTTAGATCCATTTCCCCATGAGCGTTTACAGACCGATGAAACTTGGAAATAAATGGATTCATCACAGACTCAACAGCTCTGCCCGAGCCTGCACGCAAGTGAAGGTGACCCCAGGCTGGAAGTCAAGCCTTGATGATAAAAACATGGTCCCTTGGGCACCCCTTCAACCTTTGGGGTGCCTCTCACTTTGTTGCTTCTGCCGGGCCTTGTCGCATATGGCGGGGCGGAGCTGCAGGCGGGCTCCCCCGGGCAGGGTGCAGCTCCTGGCACACACCACCACCCCCAGGCAGGACTTCTTGAGGATCTGACAGTTGTGGTTGTTGGTGTTCCTCATGGCCCAGCCGCTGAGGTGCCTCTGGGCGTTCTTCTCCTCGCTGGAGTAGATGAACCTCACGTAACCGTCCGGCCATTCCTGGAAGGCGTCGAAGTGTTTGGGCTCCTGGAGGGGTGGGGGACAGCAAGAGTGTCAGCAGGAGTTTGCAACCTCAGGGTGTTGCCCTGTTACAACATACAAAATGGCTTTCTAGGTGAGCACCCAAGCTGACGAAGAAATATGGAGAGAAGAGCTTAATTAGAAATGGTCCATAAGGCTGAAACGCTGTCTGAGCTTCCACGTCTCAAAACCACACGTGCTCAGCTCTGCTGAGGCCATACCTCAGAGCCTGGGGTCAGTTTTGGGCCCCTCACTCCAAGAAGGGCCTTGAGGGGATGGAGAGTGGCCAGAGAAGGGCAACGAAGCTGGGGAAGGGGCTAGAGGCCAAGTGTGGTGAGGAGCAGCTGAGGGAGCTGGGGGTGCTGAGCCTGGAGCAAAGGAGGCGCAGGGGAGACCTTCTGGCTCTGCACAGCTCCTGACAGGAGCCTGGAGCCAGGGGGGGGTCAGGCTCTGCTCCCAAGGAACAAGTGATGGGACAAAAGGAAACAGCCTCAAGTTGCCCCAGGGGAGGTTTAGGTGGGCTACAAGGAAAAATGTCTTCCCCAAAAGGGTTGTCCAGGGCTGTGCCAGGCTGCCCAGGGCAGTGGTGGAGTCCCCACCCCTGGAGGGGTTTCCAAGCCGGGGAGATGTGGTGTGAGGGACATGGGGCAGTGGGGACCTGGCAGTGCTGGGGGAAGGGTTGGGCTTGATGATCTTGAAGGTCTCTTCCAACCAAAATGATCCCATTATTCTTAGATTCTTAAAGAAAATCAGGATCCTTCCCTCTTTTTCATGACAATTTGGAGTAGCATGGTCTGTTGTCAGAGGTGCCTCTTGGCAGTGAGGTTACCCAGCCATAAGGCATCAGCCTTGTTACCAAAACCTACTGCCTGGTCCACCACCAGTGCACCCAAACAAGACAGAAGCCACCCAGCTTATGCATGCTGTTAAATCCCCCTTGTGGGACTGTGCTCATGCAAGTTGGGATCTAGAAGTTTTAGCTAAGGAAGAATTTCTTAAAGTACATTTAATATAAGTTGAATAAGGCTTCTACCAAAAAAAAATGAATAAAAGAATTTGCCATTACAAATATAATCAATAAAAGCACATAGAGGTTCTCAGAACATTTTAATTTGAGATTTCAGTGGCTTTTTGCAGTTATTTACCAAAATATCATTACCAGCACAATGAAAGAACAACTGAGATCCATAAAATCCAAATATTTACAGTGCAAAGAGTTCCTGCAACACTCATTTAATATAAATTTATACCACACTCAAGCAATCCTAGTGAATGTCAATAAACTACCAGCATTTACAGGGTTAAGCAATCCTAGAACTGCATGGGCTTTGTAAAATTAAATAAACTCTAAGAGGAAAAAAAAAGAGTAATGAACTAAGAATGCATTTGGAGCTCAGAACTGGGAAAAAAGTGGAGTGCTCATTGACAATAAAACATCACATCAAGAAACTGATGAAATATTTCAACATGTTTTTATTACAAGTCCTTTTATAAGAATTACTGCAGCCCATCCAGACCCAGGGAATGAGGTCTGAAAAGCTGTGGGAGAAGTAAAACAGCCTCCAAACGAAGCTTTGCTCATTTTGGAAGGTTAGAGCCACCCAGGGGCTTTTTCTACCACCACCCCCTTCCCACCCTGCCCAGTACCTGTGGCAGCTTGGGGTCGTTGATGTCCCAGGTGAGCTTCATGCTGAGGAAGGGTGGTGGCAGGAGGTGGCTCCTGCTCTTTTATGCCATCGGGGCGTCCCCAGGGCAGGGGTGGGGGGGTCCCAGCCAGCTCCACCCCCCTCCCCTTCCCAGCCCTCCTCCCCTGAGGTCACCTGGAGGTGGGGGCAGCCGAAGGGGTTTTGCTGGAATCCACAGCCCCCCCAGCATCAGGGGCAGTGACCTCGGGGAATCTGAGCAGGGCTGTGAGCCCCAGCCCCAGAAACAGAATCCTCCTCCTTGGAGGAGACCTGTAAGATCAAGTCCAGCCATCAACCCAGCAGGGCCAGGTCCCCACTGCCCCGTGTCCCTCACAGCACATCTCCACGGCTTGGAAACCCCTCCAGGGTTGGGGACTCCACCCCTGATCTGGTCAGCCTGGGACGGAGCTTCACACCCCTTTCAG